CCCCAAAACCCCAAAACCCCAAAACCCCAAAACCCCAAAACCCCAAAACCCCTAAAGCTTAGTTTAAATTGATATAAATAATTAAGATGGCTCTGCCAAGATATTACGCGAATGCCTGAGTGGACAAGCCCGAGTCCTACTACGACTACACGAACTTCGAGTTGTCGTGGGGCCCCATGGATTACTACGAAGTGGTGCAGAAGATAGGAAGAGGCAAGTACTCCGAAGTCTTCGACGGAGTAAATACTCTGAACAATCAAAAATGTGTCATTTAAAATCTTAAAGCCTATTAAGCTCGAGAAAATGCAAAGAGAAATCAAGATTCTACAAACACTCTACGGCGGAAAGAACATTATTAAGCTCTATGACATGGCCCAAGACGATGTCTCAGAAGTGACTGCACTTGTCTTCGAAAGAGTCAATCACACTGACCACAAAGTTCTTTACAAACAGTTCAAAGACTTCGACATCAGGTATTACATTTATGAAGTATTGTTGGGTCTGGACTACTGCCACTCGCTCGGAATCATGCACAGAGACATCAAGCCCCACAACATCATGATCGACCACGAGCAGAGACAACTCCGCATAATCGACTGGGGACTCGCAGAGTACTACATTCCTGGCAAAGAGTACAACGTCAGAGTGGCTTCTCGGTACTACAAAGGTCCGGAGCTGCTTGTTGACGACCGGCTGTACAACTACTCGTTGGACATGTGGTCACTAGGATGCACAATGGCCAACATGATGTTCCAGAGAGACCCCATGTTCAAGGGAGTTGACAATGACGACCAGCTGATCAAGATCGTTGAAATCTGCGGGATCGACGGACTCATGGACTACTTAAAAACATACAAGCTGGAGATAAACAGGTACCACCAGAAGCACTTAAAGAACTGGGAGAAAGTATCGTGGGAAGAGTTTATTACTAAAAAGAACAAGCATTTAGTCACAAAAGAAGCTCTTGATTTCTTAGAAAAATGATTACAATATGATCGTGAAAAGAGGATAATGCCACAAGAAGCAATCGAGCATGAATATTTTGCCCCTGTTATTGAATATAAAAAGAAAATTCATGGTGGTGGTGAAGAGGTAAAGACAGAAGAGTAAAAACTAATACTTCTACAATAATGCGTATTTCTAATATGTTAATTTTTTAGTATTTATTGGGGTTTTGGGGTTTTGGGGTTTTGGGGTTTTGGGGTTTTGGGGTTTTGGGGTTTTGGGG